CCCCACCGTACACCCAGGTCAGAGACCCACCAATTTAATAACCTTTTATTTCTTCACTTGCTGCTTTGCTTTAGGAATCTCAAAATGACTGATATTGATCTTTTAAAATACTTAGGTAATCTTTAACATTCCAAATCCAAATTTTCCTTTTCCCTGCCCCTCAGATTTAAGGATAAACCCCACCACAATCATGTTTATACCTATTTTGCTGTGGTTTGATGTGCTGAAGGACCCTGGAGAGTCACAGGACAAGATGTTGGACACATCTGTTCCATCAAGATGGGCAGATTGTCCAGGCTCTTTGGTGTAGTCGTATTCCCAGAAATCCCTGGGAATGTCTGTTGCAGTATTATGGTGAGGATTATTCTCACTTTCCAGGCTGAGAGCCAAGACATAGTCCAGGTCAGCATTCCAGTCTTCAGGAAGTTGGGAATTAAGGATTTCAGGTCTCTCTTGTTCATCTCCTACGAAATTCAAATATTGTAAATTCGGGAGAACATCAAACCTGCCACCAGCAAGTCCCCCTGAACATCAGACTCAACCCCAGGGTTTCTCCTGGAGCTCAGCATCTCAAAGCCAAGGGCACCTGTACCAAATCCAGGAGGATGGAGAAAAATTAAATTTTTAGCCCAAATTACAGGGAGCAAACAACTCCAGTTTCATTTTTCTGCCAGATACTTTGAGACAAAAAATAAAATTAAGCAACTGGGCTTTTATCCCAGGCACCTGAGCACTCCTGGCTTACACCTCATTCCATGGGTAAACATTCCCACCTGGGGCCTCTGGAGCATTCACTATCCTGTATTTTCACAGAAAGGAACCACAAAACCTCACACATGGACCAGCTACCAAATGAGCAGCCAGTTCTTCCTTCCTTTGTCCACTTAAGGGTTCTGTCCCTTAAGAGTCTGTCTTTAGTGGTTCTGTCCCTTAAGATTCTGTCTTTAGGAGTTGTGTCCCTGGAAATGTGTCCCTTAAGGGGTTCTGTCCCTGGAATTGTGTCCCTTTAGGGGTTCTGTCCCTTAAGGTTCTGTCTTTAGGGGTTCTATCCTTTAAGATTCTGTCCTTAGGGGCTGTGTCCCTTAAGATTCTGTCTTTAGGAGTTGTGACCCTTAATGGGTTTTGTCCCTGGAGTTGTGTCCCTTAAGGGGTTCTGTCCCTTAAGAGTCTGTCTTTAAGGGTTCTGGTCCCTTGAGATTCTGTCCTTAAGGGTTCTGGTCCCTTGAGATACTGTCTTTAGGGGTTCCATCCTTTAAGATTCTGTCCTTAGTGGTTCTGTCCCTTAACATTCTCTCTTTAGGGGTTCTGGTCCCTTAAGATTCTGTCCTTAGGGGTTCTGTCCCTGGAGTTGTGTCCCTCAGTGGGTTCTGTGCCTGCAGCTGTGTCCCACAGCCGCTCCAAATCTCCTTTTCCCGCTCTGGCTCTTCCCAAGCCCCTGCTGTACCTGCTCCGTGCCGGCCGCTCCCGGCTCCGCGCTGCCTCCCGGGGGCGGGCGCGGTGCCGCCGCTGTCCCCGGCTGTGCTCCGGTCGCTGCCGCAGAGCCGCGGGTGCTCCGGCAGCTCCCGGCGCAGGACGTTGCGGCCGCAGCGCCCGCAGGGCTCGGTCCGGGCCCCGCAGTACAGCTCGTGCTCCTGCAGCTCCTTGAAGGCCAGCTGGATGTCACAGAACTGGCACAGCACGGGGCGCAGGGGGCACGAGGATGCCTGGGAAAACACACCGGGTTACTCTTCCCATGGAATTTCCTCAGCTTTGGAGCTCCCTGTTGTGTCCTCAGCCACTTCCAAAGGAGGAACCTGGAGCAAGCTACGATGTGGGAGTGCAACAGTGATGTGTTGGAGGCACAAACTGGGCAGCTGAAGCTCTTCAGGCACTCAGGACGTGATTTCTGGACTTGGGTTTTAGATATGACCCAAAATCCAGTTGCATTCCATGAGCACAGATAAAATCCACACTGGGTTTTAGGGAACCAACTTACACCTCATTTGCTGCTCAGCAAAAACTGCTTGGACATGTTCTTTACCCCACACTGAACCCCCTTCAAAAGGGGTTAAAAATAAATTAAATACATGATATTTGCAAATGCTGCACTAATGAACAACCTGCACTAATAAAATATCATTATTTGCTTTATAATCCAGAAGAACCACATGCAGGATTAGCTACTCCCAGGGTTTAGAACTGGACAGATTTCCACAGAAAATCCTTTTTTCCTCAGCAATCAGAAGGCTGAGGTGGCAGTTCCAGAATTGTCTCTAAAGGAGCCCACAGGAAGGGATGACATTTATAACAAGATTGTCTGTGACAGCAGCCAACTGGATTCAGAACTCAGAAAATCCCACTCTGGCCTATTTTAGTTTATTTTACAGGCTATTTTTAAAGCTTGTTTGGACAGATTGAGTTATTAAAAGTCACATAATGGCTTCAGGAGAAACATGAAACAGTAAAGGAATGAAAAAAAAAAAGTCAAGTCAATCATATTTTAAATAGCTATTTTTCAACTGACAAGGACAAAAAAATCACCAATTATCACAGATACCCCTCTGATATGAAGCCCTGAGTGGATCCAGGACTTTAGGGCAGTTTCCAATCCCTTCTCCCAGAGGGTGTGAGCTCAGGAAGCATCACTCAACAAAAGGATGCACAAACCTGGATGCTGGAATCCAAAGGCTCTGGAATCAGTGAAACACCAGAGCATCCCCCAAGGGTTCAAGAATATAAAATCCACCAACCTCGTGGTCCTTCAGGAGGCTGCTTTCCATCTTCATCCTACATTTGCAGGTGACCTACAGCAGAGAGACCTCATTAGGGGAATTTCCACAGAAATGAGCAGCTTCAGAGCAGAGATGTCTCTCACCTGCACATGTTCAGACTCAATGTGGTTCTTCATCTCAGACTTTGGGATGGAGTCGCTGCAGTAGGGGCATATTTCAATATTTCTTCTACAGTGGATTTCATGGATGATGAAATTGACTGCAGGAATATCCTTTTTGCTGTGAGAAAGTTGCTAGAGGTTACTGAGCAGAAACACACTGACAACAAATCCAAACAGTTGTTCACAACAAAAAGATAATGCTAAGAAAGATTTCAATGAATTCACGGTTTAAAGTGAGTAGAGAAAGGCCCAGCCAGGCCTCAGGTTTCCAGCACAGGTGGCTATTAATGTATTTAACATGCAAAAGTCACATTGCATTCAGATAAAATCCAGGTGGATTTATTTCCTTGTGTGAAAGGGAAATCTTGCAGCACAAACAAGTAATCACCAGGGATCAAGTTAATAAATTAGTCTGAGAAGATAAAAGTTTCTTCCTGAAAATAACTTGGCTCTGAGAGGTCAAACAGTGCTTTGGAAAGCAAACAGTGCCTTTTTTAATGCCTGACAGATCCTGTTCCAGGATAATGGAACCATAGAATGGTTTGGGTGGGAAGGACCTTAAAGCTCACAGGGACACCTCCACAGACCAGGCTGCTCAGAGCCCCAGCAGTAACAACACTCCTCTGCACCCCAAAATTCCCCAACTGACCTCATTTTACTCCAAAATCCCACAATTCACCTCATTTTTAAGATGCTCGTTTTCTGTCTTGAACCCAAACACAAAAAGACCAAGAGGAACTGAGGCACCTGGAGCTCAGTCCTTACTCCCGCCTCAAACACACAGCATCATTTCTACACGGATCATGCACTTTCCAAGAAATCCACCTTGAGAACACCTCGATTAATTTTATAACCTTTTGTTCGCTAAACCCACAGCTGTTCTCTCCCCTGCCAGATGCCAGGCAGCCAAAAGCCTGGCAAAGCAACAAAGTCCAACAGCAGCGACTGACCAAACAAACCAGGCTTATGTTGCAAGAAACTGTCTGGATTCTCATGTCTCTTGGGGAGAAACAACTACAGAAAAAGTTAATTTCTTTATCTGCTTGAATTCAACACACAACTTGTGAAGTGACTCCTTACCAGCCACTGGGCTCTGCAGAGAGGAGTAATCAAAGAGAAAAACTTCCACAACAATACTGACAACACTGCCTACTGATCCTATTTTCGTATTTCTCCTCCTGAGCCGCGGAACCGCTGAAGAAAAACTTGGAATCGTGTATTTTGCGCGGGCCTCACTGAAAAGCGAGCCTGGATTTCCATCCGAATGTTTCGGTTTCTATTTAAGTTCCCTGCTAAATCAGAAGGGAAATGCGACGCCCCAGCGCTTACGGGAAAGGCCCTACGGTCGTCTCCGGTGTTTCACCGCCTTCCAAGGAGCTGTGCCCCGATGTGCCGGCGGGGTCGGCTCGGTCCACACCGAGTGCGACCCTCACCGACCCCGGCCCTCACCGACCCCGGCCCTCAGCGACCCCGGTCTAGCCCTCACCGACCCCGCTCCGGCCTCACCGACCCCGGCCCTCAGCGACCCCGGTCCGGCCCTCACCGACCGCGGTCCGGCCCTCACCGGTCCCGGCCCTCAGCGACCCCGGTCCGGCCCTCAGCGACCCCGGTCCGGCCCTCACCGACCCCGGTCCGGCCCTCACCGACCCCGGCCCGGCCCTCACCGGTCCCGGCCCGGCCCTCACCGACCCCGGCCCGGCCCTCACAGACCCCGGCCCTCACCGACCCCGGCCTCACCAGTTGCCGCAGAGGCGGGACTCGGCGGCGGGCACGGCCGCGATGGCCATGGCTCCGTGCGGTGCCCGCTCCCCTCACAGCCCCGGGCACCGGGCCTGGCCGCCTCCTCCCGCCGGGGAGCGCGCAGCGAGGGACCGGGGGCGGCACCGGCGAAAGTGACAGCGCGGCCCCGCGGGTGCCAGTCCCGGGTGTCCCGGCCTGCTGAGGGTGCCGGTGTCGGGTGGCGATCACCGGTGGCGAGTCGGTCGGGTGGGGTGAGATCAGGTCGGTGCCGGTCTCTGACGCCCCCGGCGGTGATGGTGGCGGTGTCGGTGCCGGCCCGGCGGGTGCCGGTGCCCGCCGCGTCCCGCGTCCCGCGTCCCGCCCCGCCCCGCCGGCCCGTCCGCCGTTGCCCGCCCCCGGCCGCGGCTGCGCGCTGCGTTCTGCGCTCTCATCATGGCGGCGCGGGGCCATGTGCAGGACCCCAACGACCGCCGCCTGCGGCCCATCTACGGTACGGACCCCCCGCGCCCCCGCCCCGGCCCCGCCGCCGCCGCCGCCGCCCCCCGAGCCTCCCCTGCCGCCCTCCCGCGCTCCCGGCCCCGCCGCGCCTGCGGGGCTGCGGCGCCCGCCCGGCCGGGCCGGGGTCCCGCGGAGCCCCGGGGGTGCCCCTCGGCCTGGGGGGGAGCGCAGCCGAGGTGACCCGGCCCGAGCTCTGTGCGCTGCCGCGGGGGAGCCGGGCATGGGTTAATCCCTGGAGGAGCAGCCGCGGATGCCCCGGAGTTGTGTTGGTTGGATGTTGTGGCACGGAGCGGTGACGCTGTTGGGGGAATTAATTGGGAGGCAGGAGAGAAGTAGAAGGGGACGGTGTCGTTGGGAGTTGTCCGGCGTTGTTGTGTCCCCGAATGTTTCCGAGGGTGTTCTGCGCTGTTGGGGTTGCTTCAGGGGTTGTAGGCAAAGCTTGGCTCTATGCAAATATGGAGAAATAAAAGGAAAACGCTTCCCCGGGCTACGGTATCGTTTCGTCCCTAAAACTGAAGATGTGATAGAGATTGAGGAAAGCGTTCTTAACTTTTTCAGCAGGGATGGAAACCTCTCCCTAGAGACGCGGAGAGCTGCCCTGGTTTGGGGCTGGACGTGCTTTGGGATGTCCTTTGCTGGGGCAGAGGGAGGGTGCAGTACAGGCTGGGTCTGTGATGGGTTCCAGGGAAAGGGAGCAAGATGGTTTTGTTGTTCGATTGGAGGTGTTCAAGTTCGTTCGTCTTTATGTAACGATTTTAAGGTTTTTTTCCTTAGTTTTCCATACGTGTTGTGATTGGCAGTTTCATTGATGTACAGTTGTTCTTGTCATATCCTGTGTAAGAAATGGTTTTAATATAAAAATCTGGGTAAATTCAGCTGATACCAAAGCAGATGATGTTGAGCATCTCACTGTGTTCATTTTGGAGACACCTTTAGAATTCCTTTCTGCTTGTTCTGGGAAGGATTCTCTGCAGTGCAAGGTTTGCTCTCAGGCTGTGGTGCTGCAGAAGCCGAAATAAAGTGTGTGATAAACACACACAACTTCCCCTCCTCAGCAGCTGGGGAGGTGCACTGTGAGGTCCAAGGTCTGCCTCTGGATTTCTAGGTGTGCCTGGGTTTGTGCCGTGGTTCCCCTGGATTCCCCAACAGCTCTGGTTATCTTTGATCTTGACATTTCTCCCTTCACCTGAAGGTTCAGGTGTTGCATTTCCAGCCTTTGAACATCTCCATCTATGAACTAGCACTGGCTGAAATTTATTTTCATTTAGCTTCATTTCCTTCGGAAGCTGCTTTGACTTCCAGCAACCTGACTCGTTAGGAAAATACAATCTCTTCATTCTGCTGTGTTTTAGGGAGGTTTGAGGGTTATTTGATTTACTTTGGAACACCCAAAGCTGAGATGTTCTTGGCACAGCTGTTAATCCCAGTCAGGCAGCTCAGCATGAGGGATAATTTGTGTGTCACTAAACTGGGTGACAGAGCCTTAAAGCAAGAAGCCTCTGATGTTCCATTCCACACCTTTGAAACCTCTTCACTGAGAAATCCCCAAAGTTTTAATGTTAGAGGTTACACAGAGGTTTCCTAAGTTGAAATTTATGGCTTCAAACTGGATTTCATGCCACAATGTTTATTTTGGTGAGTGTGGAAAGGCTGACTTGTGAGAGGTTTGCTGTGGAAGGGCTCAAGAGCCCAATTAACTCTGCTTTAAATATACAGCATCCACCTGGCCACGGGAGCAAATGTGGGAGCTGTTTAATAGAAATCTGTGAATCAGAATAGATGCACAATTCGTGCTGAGGATTGCCCTCAGTAAAAGAGTTCTGGCTCATAATGGGAATGACAGGTTTGGTGAGGTAAAGGTGTGTGATGTAATTTCAGGTAACTGGCAGGAGAGAGCTCAGAGCAGTGTGAGCAGCCCCTTCCTTCCCTTGGCACATGAGGGGCAGCAAAGTTGGGTTAGCTGAGGAAAGAGGGATTTTTGAGGGAAGGGGAGCATGTAGGGGTTTTGTCCTGGTCTAAAACTGCTTGTTTATAATTGTGTAATAACGTGAAGATCAATCTGAAAGTTGTAATTCTGAGCTAAAAAAGGAGAAAATGGTCTGGAGATAGTTGGATGTCTCCCTAGGAAATACTAATGCTTCACAGCTGTGCCTTCAAAACCAGCCTGGTGGAAGGGTAGTGGTACTCCAGGGGGACAGGTTTGCTCTGCCTGTGAGGTATGAATGCTGTAGAGAAGTGTTTCCCACTTTGCTGGTGTGTATGTGTTTGGTTTCTAACTTCTTGCCTGTTAAAAGTCACTGAAAGTCTCCCAAAGACACACCAAATTAATTTCTACTTTTCCTGCTAAAGCGCTGGAGCTGCGCTGCCAGCAAAGAGCTGCTGCTGCAGAATCCTCTCTATTATGGCTCTCTTTTGTTGCTGTAATGATCTGTGTGGAGTAATTACAAAAGCTTGTTTGTTTGAGTGACTAAAACTAGTACAACGAGATGAATCCTTCATCCCTGAAATGACAGTTTCCTGAATGTTTGGCTTAGGAGGAGCTGCACAGGGAAAATGTGGTTTGTGCTGCTGGTGTGACAGCAGATGCTCCATGGTAAAATTGGAGGTGGCTTTCCAGAATGGCCTCGGTGTTCTGGTGTGATTTTGTGTGTGCTCTTCCTCTGCAGATTATCTCGATAATGGCAATAATAAAATGGCAATCCAGCAAGCAGATAAACTGCTCAAAAAGCACAAGGACCTTCACTGTGCCAAGGTGAGTGGGACGGGGGGCACTGAGCTCATTCTGCCTGAGTCTCAGGGTGTTCCACTGTCCCTTTCTCTGGGAGCTTCCACAGTAATTTCTGAGCCCTCTGGAATGTCTCTGTTCCAACTCACCTGTATCTTGTTTGCCTGAAAATGCTCTGATAGGGACTGGAGTGCTGGTTCCACCTGGGCTGATTGTCAGCACCACTCCAGGTGACCTTGGCAGATGGATTTAAAAACACCTCTTGGAGTTCTGGGCTTGGGATAGCCATCTGCAGGAGTTTGGATCAAAATATCTCCTTGGGAGGAAATGTCTGAGGAAAACATTACAGGGTGAACAGGTGTCCCAGAGAAGCTGTGGATGCCCCATCCCTGGAATTGTTCAGTTTGGGGAGACTTGGTCCATGAAAAATGGAGCTGGATGATTTTAAGGTCCCTTTCAACCCAGAGCACTCCAGGATTCCATGATTTTGGAGGCATTTGCTATTTTGCTTGTCCACCTTCCTCTCTGTGACCCTGTTGAGGTTAAGGGATTCTGTTCCTCCCTTTCCTGAACGTGTGACTCTCTGCTTTTCTCATTTCCCTGGGGGTTTCCCGCTGCAGTTCATTCCACTTCTACATTTTGAAAGCTTCCCAAGCTGCAGAGAGTGTCATTGACCTGATTCTCGTTTATGTCACTTCTCTCTGGCCAGTTAGTGAAAAAAAACTAAGGAAAATTGCCAGGACAGGTCAGTTTACAGCCTCCAGGTAGAGAAAATCATGTGATGATGCCTTGGGGCAACCTCAGCATTTATTAAGAAGTCAGATCCCCTCTTTGATGCTGTTGCATTTGTGAGTTTTCCTGTCCAGCCATATGGATTAAAAGCTTAATAAATCCTGGAGTTGTGCAGAGGGAATGAGGTGGTTGGGCTGTTCCCAGCAGGAGCGAGAGGGTTTCCAAATGCAGACTGTGTCTCTGAGAGCTGCCTGTGTTGTGTCCACAGGTGCTGAAGGCCATTGGCTTGCAGAGGACTGGCAAACAGGATGAAGCCTATGCCCTGGCACAAGAAGTAGCAGCACTTGAACCCACAGATGATAATTCCTTGCAAGCACTGACCATTCTCTACCGGGAAATGCACAGACGTGAGTTTGTTCCTCTCCCAGAAATCTCTAGTTGTGTTCTTCCAGAAGGTTTGTGCCCCGCAGTTTGGTGGGAAACGTGTAAAATCCAGGATTTGTGTATGTGAGAGACTGTTAAGAGACTCAGAATTGAAGTGATCCTGTTGTAATGCCTGTAAGGCTGGAGTGATTTTCATAAAGCAAAAGAATCCTCATTCAGGCTTGTTCTGAACACAGTTGTGTAGCAGGTCCTAAGTGAAGCATGTTGATAATGATCCAAGCCTGGGAGTTCACTTTTATTAATGAAATACTGAAATTTGTCCCCAGGAGAGTGACAGAGATGACAAATCCCACAAGGTGTGATGTAGTTGAGGGGTTCAGGCCTCAGGAAAGTGGTGAAAACCAGGAGGGAAATCTGCACCTCCCAGTTTGGCCACATCAGCTTTGTCAGGTTCCTCGGAGTGATTTGTGTTTTCAAAATACTGAATCATCAGCATTGGAGTGATGGAGGAAAGTTTCCTGTGCTTTTCTGAAAGATGCCAGACCTCTTGTCCTGCTTTTCTGCAGCTTGAACAGTTGTTGTTTCTGGCAGCTTCTTGGGGAGTGTGGTGTGGTGGTACCAATGTTTATTGTGGAGTTTTGGTGATAGCACCAAAATTTATTGGTGAACTGCTGGAGAAACGATTAAGGGGTGAAACAGCTTCAGAAAAGGGGGTTTGCATCAGTCTGCAAAAGAGCAATGATGTTCTCCCAGTTGATTTCTTTGTGTGTGTGTTTGTGGAGTTAAAGTATCATTTGTTGAGTAATACCAACATTTTTTGTGTATTTTTGACTTTAGCATAAACCCCTGTGAATGACAAGAGCCTCTCTGTGATTGTTAACAATTTCCATTAAGCTGAGCTTTGTAACTTTTAGGTCTGTAACTCAGGAACTGGTGGGTGTGAGGCAGTTCCACTTTTGGTCTTGCAAGAAAATTAATGCAATTAGATGTTTTCTACATCTGTGTCAGGGATGTATAAACTGTGTGAAACACAAATTACGTTTGCTTTTCTGTTTCTATTCTGAGCTACAATTGTTTGTGTAAGAAAAAAATACGGAAGGATGAAAATGTAAGAAAGTTTGCATTTTGTACTATCAGAAGTATTTTGTCATGCTAGACCTGTTATTAAAAAGTATAGCGTGAAATAATTGTTTAAAGTTCTGATATAGGCAGTTGGGAGATAGCAGGATATGATTAATATGAGTAAACCTGTGATAAGAATAATTAACTTGCTATTAGGCTCTGAAAGTGTTTGTTTTGATACATGATTCACATGGAGCAGTCATTCTGCCAGCAGGAGAAACCTTCATTCAGTTTAATGCTCAAAAATAGAGAAAAGCCTACTTTAAAAGTAGACCTAAAATTCTCCTGAGCAGTTCAGTTGCTGCTGTTGAACTCTTTATTTTGATTTAAGTCTATTTTGAGGTTTGTTTGGAGTTTTTTTAAGCACTTTCCTCCTTTGCCTGATGTTTGCAGTGCCTGGGGCACAGAGCAACATTTTTGGGGGTGATGAGTGCAATCAGTTGCTGTTCAGAGCATCCCTGGTGCTCTTTAGGGAGTTGTGCTTTAAAATATTCCCAAGTTGGTGTTAACTCTAGCATCTGGTTTTGGTTTAGCCGAGCTGGTGACTAAACTTTATGAGGCAGCTGTGAAGAAGGTCCCCAACAGTGAAGAGTATCACTCCCACCTCTTCATGGCCTATGCCAGGGTTGGAGAATACAAGAAAATGCAACAGGTATGACCAACAATTTGTGTTCTGGCTGGTTTAAAGTGTATTTTTCTCTGTATTTTGCTCTCATTTTTGTGTTATGAGTAATCTTCCAAAAAAGCTGAGCTGGGTTAATGCAGAAGTTAAACTCTTGGTTGGTTTTTACAGAGAGGTTTGAACCTCAGTTTTTAAGGGTGAGTTGTCGGAAGACAAAAGTTTTGTTACCTTAAGGCTGTGTCTTTTACTGATCTGTGGTTTTGTAGTTAGAGTACAAAATAAAGGAATTCTGGAATAGGCACATCTAAGAAGAGCTTCTGATCCATGTTTTCACTTTTGATTCTGGCCTCAGTTCTCTGTTAACTTTAGGAAGATAAATCCTCCCAGTGCTCTTTCTGAGCATCTGAAATACAACTTGTATTGATGTCATTCAGTGAAGAAAAAACTAAAAAGCACTTGAAATATCCCCTCTCAGTTGGCAGCACAGTGTCACACTGGTTGATTTTGTTTTCATCCCTTTCATATGAGGTGCCTGGAGAATGCCTGTAAATGAAAAATGATTTTCAAGGCCTGCATGTTCACTCTTCTGTGTAAAAAAACACAGAGAGACAGGAAATAAGTGCTGAACTCCCTCTTGTTTCTGCTGTGACTTGAATTTTTGCACAGGTTTAGCTTAAATAGCAAAAAAGGAGTTTATGGTGTACCTGAAATGAGAAACATCACAATACAACCCAAACTTTCAATGTGATAGATCACAACCATGAGTGGAGAAAATGCCACAGATAACAATAATTAACATTTATGTGACTTTTTGCATGTCTGAAGTGACATAAAAATGTGGATCTCATTAAATTACTGTTTTCAATATCAAGTGAATCAAATCATCATTATCAGTATCATATTGTCAGAGTGGGATGTTGGCCTGTGCTTTTGGATTTAGGGATGTGAAGAGTGTGTGGATGGATAACTAATTAGCAATGAAAATAAACCCCAGTGTCCTGTGCTCTGGGATATTCCTGCTGAAAATCCTGGAAAATGCCAACTGCAGTCAGGGAATTGGGACAAAAGTCCAGCTGTGGAGGTAGACTATTGTGTGTAGTTTCTTGAAATTAATTACAAATTTTTTAGGGGTAAAAGTCTTGTCCTTTGTTAGATACAGGCACTGTGAGGGAAATGTGGGAATAGCTGTTAATGTGTTAGGGAAAATCGTGAATTCTTTGGCTCTGCTTTGATTCAACCAAATTCTCTGCTCAACCTTTGCTCCCCCTGCTTTGTGCGTGGAGGTGACCCCGAATTTGGGGGTGTCAGTGGATGTGAAGTGAGTGTTGAAGGGCACTTGGTTCCTGGAGGCAGGCGTGGGTTTGCTGTGTCCTTCAGCCCTGGAGATATCCCCTCATTCCCAAAGAGCAAATCTGCTGCCTCCTGGAGTTCCCAGTTCCAGTTAGAGCTGTCGTTTGTGTAGGCAGTCAGTGCTTGCTGCTGTTCTTGTCAGACCTACACAAAGTCCTTGGAAACATTTCCACCCTCTGTTTTCCTCAGGGAAGAGCTCACGAGTGGGGAAAATCCTCCCATGTGCAAATCCCCTCCCATCATTGCTGCCCATCACGAGATCTGAGAAATAAATCTATTTCAGGAATGATGAAATTTGTGTCTTCTGTTTTTCAGGCTGGAATGGCACTTTATAAGATTGTTCCCAAAAATCCATATTATTTTTGGTCCGTGATGAGCCTGATCATGCAGGTGTGTGCAATGTTGGGTTTGACTGGTTGGATTTGTTTTTTTTTTTACTGCAGTGCTGGTGCAGAAATGTTCTGAGGGAAAACATTATGATTTTGGGTAAAATGTATGTTTGAGCTGTTTCTGTGTGATGCTGGGAGAAAGACTGAGCCCTCCTTAACAGCATTATTGTTGTTGTCCAAAAACGCTGAGGTGTTTTTATAATCCAATTTAACTGTTGCCTTACCACTTTTATACAACTTGAATTATTCTCTCATCTGCACTGATATCCACCTGTCCTTTGGCAGAGATGATGAATAAATCCTCAGCTAGCTGCAGTTTCTCAGTCAGAATTGTTCCTTTCTAACGAGGTTATAAAAGCTCTTGGAGGGAATAAATGAGAGCTCTGGAATTAGCAGCAAGTCTGCAGGAATAGACACAGATCAGCTGTGCTGCTGCTGCTTGAGGAAGCACATTTGGGCACTAAAAATCAGACATAAAATCAAACAAAAATAAGCTTGGAGGGTTTTAATCACATCCTCTAAAATCCTGTGCCGTGTAAAATGCAAAAATATTCTGGCTCCATGTTTTTACCAGCAGGTTTGTGTGCTCAGTGATGCAGGGCTCTGGTTGATCTGATCAAAAATGAGCTTTTTCTGTGCAGCAGCAATTTTATTGCTGCCATTTCCCAGAGCAGTTGCACTCTCAGGTCACAGATGGCAGCTCCAAACAGGTGGCTGGGGGGGATTGGAACACCTGGGTTGGTTTTATTCCCTCCTTTAAAGTGAAAAGAGCAGTGGGAAGGACATCACAGAAAGTTGCTGAGCTGTTACAATAATCCATCTCTTCCTCAGTCTATCTCAGCACAGGACGAAAACCTCTCCAAAACGATGTTTTTGCCACTTGCTGAAAGAATGGTGGAAAAAATGGTGAAAGAGGACAAGATTGAAGCTGAGGCTGAAGTAAGGCTTGGTTTGAGCTTTGTTGAGACAAGGAATGCACTGTTAAGAGAACTTGATTACCTTGGAAAACTTAAATAATCAAAAATGTTTTGGAATTAAATGTGAATTGTAGGGGACAGAAGGAAAACCAAAAGCAGGGGGTTAGGAGGGCCTCAGAGTCCTATACCTGAGGCAATTTTTGGTGTTTGGTTTGACTGATGAAGTGCTTTGCTCTCTGGGAGGCCCCAAGAAAAACCTGAGGACTAAGAATGGAAAAAAGGTCTAAATTTGAGTATTGCACCCTTTGGGATGCTAAAGATAGCTTTGCAGGCCTGGTATCCCCTATTTTCTCTGTTGGCACACCTGGATATGATCTTCCTAGGAAATTTCATTACAGTTTAATTTTTCTTTTAAGGTGGAGCTGTACTACATGATCCTGGAACGTTTGGAGAAGTACAAGGAAGCCTTAGATGTTGTGAGGGGAAAACTTGGAGGTAATTTATTCTTTAATCAATCAGAGTTGTGTGGAGAATACAGAACTTCAGACTTGTCCACTGCTCCAAAAAAAAAAAATTTAGGAAGCCTGACTTAGCACCAGTTTTAACCTCAGTGTAAACTGTGGAGGTATTTGGGCAACCTGGTTTTACCTACTTTGTTTATGGTATTTAAACACTACTCAGGGCTGAGCTTTGCAGTGGTAAATTGGGATCATATTCTTTGTTGTAGCTGCCATCTTCAAACCTGAAGTGTCTTCAATATCTGCATTTTAGTGAAGTTTAACTGAGGATTAAAATGCACTTGGAATTGGGATGTGGAGGTTTCCATGGGAAATATTTCTGAGAGCTGCTGCTGTGTTAGACCTGGTGGTTTGGTGCTGGGCTGGAGCAAGAAGGTTTCAGCAGGGATGAGCTGAGCTTTCCATGTTTTTTTGCTGCAGAGAAGCTGACGAGTGAGCTGCAGAGCCGGGAGAACAAGTGCATGGCCATGTACAAGAAGCTGCACAGGTGGCCCGAGTGCAACGCGCTGGCCAGGAGGCTGCTGCTCAGAAAGTGAGAGAGGATTCCTGCAGTCCTGCAAAAAAGATGGAACAAAAACCCCTGCTTGTTTGGGAATGGCCTTGTTTGGTGGCTTTTGTGGTTAAAATAGTAGAATACTGGGAAGCTTTTCCAAAGATTGCACTCCGAAGCCAGGTGAAGGTGACAGGAAGAGTCAGGGTCGGGACTGGAGTTGCTGCTTTTTTTCAGGCAGAATTTGGCAACACATTAATGCAATAAAAGGTTGTTTACCTCCTTATTTCTAAGTTCTTTGCTGATTGGCTGGCTCTGACTTTGCATTTCTCATCCTGTCCATGATTTACATTAAATTTTCTACATCTAAATTTCTCCCATTTGGCCAGACTTCATCGTGGGAAATGCATGTAGTGCTTGGAGCAGATGCATCAGGAGACAGAACATTTCAGTGTGATCAAATCTGTCTCAGAACTGTCAGGAGAGATGTGGTGTGTGCTTTTGAATTTAGCTGTGCTCTCATATCTAAGTTGAACGCAGAAGAGAAACTGCTACCTTCGTGTTTTGTGGGAATAGTGCTGAGCTCTGACTCATAGGAGGAGAGTTCATAGCTTGCCTCAATTTTGAATTGAAATGTTTTTGCTTAATATGTTGCCAGAAATTCAGTATTATGGTGTTCCTAAGATTTGAGACCTTTTCAAGAGGAAACAATTTTATGATTACAATTGGGTTTTTTTCTGTAATATGATTGTGTTATTCCTTAATTCAGCTTTATCAAGAAACGTAGTTTTAGCTGTTAATTGTTTTTGCAATTCCCTAAATTTTGTCCTGTACCTGATTTTTGTTTCAGCTCAGATGATTGGCAGTTTTATATAACTTACTTTGATTCAGTGTTTCAACTCATCGATGAATCCTGGACACCTCCAGCAGAGGAAGAGCAGTAAGTAGAGAATTTTGCTGTGGATTTGTTTTCCCTTTGTGCTTTAGCAAATTGTTTGGGTTCATGTATTCAATATTAGAGTGAGTTCTTGATGTCAGAGCCCAAATAGTGTGTTTTCCTTGCTTTGTTTGGTGTGTTTTATCTGGAGGCTGGCAATGGTTCATGGAAGTAGTTTGTACATTATAGAGGTCTTCCAGCTCGTGTTTTCTGTGGTGACTGAGTTGCAGAATCCATCGTTTCCCTGTCTGGGAGTGTGCTGAGCGTGGGTTATCAGTGGGACCTCTCCAAGAACCTTTTGTCTGTGTGGTTGCAGCTCTCTGGAGGGGGAGGTGCACTGCTCCATCGAGCAGGCTGTGCATTTCATCGAGGAGAGGATAACAGAGGAGTCCAAGAGCTCCCGGCCGCTCCGGGGACCCTACTTGGCCAAACTGGAGCTGATCAGGCGCCTGCGGCACAGGGGCTGCAATGATGAGTACAAACTGGGTAAGAGCCCCTCCTGGGGAGGAATTCATCTCTGGACAGAGGGAGACAGAGCACAAACTTTCTGCTAAATCACTGTGTTAAATGCAGTTTTCATTAGGAAGAGATAACCTGTTGTTCTGTATGTAAGGAATTCTAAAAGCATTGGAAGGTGAACTTTGAAGAAAGGCAGGTATTTCCAGACTACTCCAGGGCTTGGAAAAGCCAGCAGGGAGGTTTGCAAAAGGACCTCAGGGATTTAGGAGCATCCAGTCACTGACACTGTATTCCTAGTGGAAAGTCTTCCTGTTAGTGCTGGAATCTTTGTGTGGGTTTTAATTTAAGTTTTTATGGCAACAAGGCCAGGTTTTGCTTTTTAAAAACCTGCATCACAAAATGGCATTTAGGGAATCAATGAAAGGGAATGTGATGAGAGCAACATCTGTGCTATTTCCTAATTCCGTGTTTTTTTTCCATCCCAAAAGAAGCCATAGTGAGATAAGTGGAGGCTGCATGTGCTTCCCTGGGTTGCTGAGCTATTATCTGCTAAAGGAGCTTGAATGAAGCTCTTGGGCTTTTTTTAATGTGTCCTTGGTTACCAGAGACTTTGAAGCTCTGTTAAAATCTGCAGTAGTGCGGCTCTCTGCTTTCTAAATTGCTCTGTAATCTTGAAGGGAGGAAAAAAACAAAGAATGAACAAAGACTTCTCATAGTGATTTTACAGATTTCACTTCTACTGGAGGATGTTAAAAAGATGACCTGGCCTTTTTCCTAGGTGATCCAGAAGAACTAATGTTCCAGTACTTCAAAAAATTTGGGGATAAGCCCTGCTGTTTTACTGATCTCAAAGTGTTTGTGGATCTCCTTCCACCCAGCCAGTACACAAAGGTAAGGAAATATCAAGAAGTCGTGGCAGGAACTGCAGTGGTTGTTTGCACTCTGGTCCCTTTATCTTAAAATACCCATGGATTATATTCAAAGACTGGAAACATCACATTTTTACTTTCTGCTTGAAATTCAGAGAGGTCTTTGTGCTGTAGAAGATATCATGAACATCTGAACACTTGAGAAGTTTAATTCTGAGGATTTTTACTGGAGGTTTAAAGCTAAGTTTGATCCTGCAGGGTCTCAGCTCTGGTATTCCTTTGGCATTTTTATTCCCATTTTTCAAGGTGTCAGGGTGCTTTGAGCTCAAAGTTTCTGTTTAATGGGAAGAAGCTGCCTCCTCATCCCATGCAGGGATGTCACAGATATTTTTCATGGCTCTGGCAGTGCCAAAGAAGGGACACATTTACCCCAATCCAGGGGTCATGGAAGCACTCATGGCAGTTTTTTCCAGAATATCTTTCTGGAAGAGTTTCTCTGAAAAGCCCATTTGTGCAGAGTCATGAGCAGCCAGGAGTGACTTCAGCAGCTGGGAATTCTGTCACTCACCCCAATGTTTGTCTGAGCCATTGTGTCCAGGGATCAGCACTGCGGAGGGCAAAGAATCCGGGATCAGCCAGAGCCTGGGGATAAAATGCTGGTAAACAAAGTGTAGGTAGCAAGGTTCTCTTGCTTTATTAAAGTATTTTTTGGCTCCGAATGCAAACTATTCCCACAGCCCCAGTGCTGATGGGAGTGGTGGCTCTGGCCGGGATGGCTGTTGGCTGGTGTTTTATGTTTAAAGGTGTGTTTTTAGCCCACTGGCTGGAAATGTGGCCAGCAGGATATTGAACTCCTAGTCTTGGAAATGGTGATTCCATTGTAAGGGAACCCCGAAGTACTGAACAGGTTTCATCCTAACTTTCCAGGGAACAGATTCAAAACCAAGAGTGGAAGAATTATATTTAGTGATAGTTCAGACTTCAGTTCTGTTACAGTGCTTGTAAAACCTTGACTCTGGCTTTAAAATTCTCTGTCTGGCTTTAAAACTGCTGCTGATTTACTGAATATATTCTGGAATATATATTGTGTCAAACTGATGTATTAGGTGGTTTTCTGGTTGTCCCTGAGGCAGCATCTACAGCAGTTTAGCTTGGTCAAGGACACGAGGAACTGAGGAGGTTTTGTGGTGCTGAGGTGCTGATGAGTTTTGACATGAGACTTCGACCTCAGTAGCTGAGGTTGTGAGCTTGCTGAGCCACTGACATGCGAGATAGTCCAGAAATAATGGTCACAACACCAACCTTGACTTCCTAGAGGTGTAAATTGGACAGTGGAGTCAATGATGTGCTTGACCTTGCTCAGCATGGCAGAGTTTCAAACTGAAAAAATCTGTCAACATAGCATTCATCAAATTCTTTGGGAAAACTGGAATTGGTGTGTGTTGTACTTGGTGCTGCTCCTGAGCTTTTTGCCTCAGGCTTGCATTTGATGCAGTTATTCTGTGTCAATACCAAATGCAGTAAAATCAAATTCATTGGCTTTCACTCAGGCTTCAGTTTGCAGACAATGTTGTGTTTTCGAGCAAGAAGCTGCTGCCCAGACCTGCGTGTTGTGAGGAGTCTTTTGTCTCCCATTAAAACTAAACAATGAGAAGCTGCATTTCTTACAGCTTAATTCCAAAAAGAAGTCATTAGTCAGAGTTGATGACCTCACTGACTACTGCTCGTTACTTCAGAGCTGAGGGAAATGTAACAATGCAAAACCATTATTGCCTGGAAGTATGCTGGGAGGCCTGTCAGTAACTAATTATTTTAATTGCATCTCCTATTACCACAAGTGTTAACAGATGCTTGAACTCCCTGGTGTATCAATGAATTGGAAACCTGCCTCTTGATTTTTCTTCCCTCTATCTGTTTCACAAAACTTAATAAAGCCTCAAGCAACTAAAAAAAGATATTGAACAGCTCAAAAAAAATCTCAAAGGCTGCTCTTGAACCACAGACATCACCATGGATGTTACCACCTTACCTTTTTTTGGTTTGATTGGAGGGAGGAAATGCTGCTTCCCCACCTCTTGGTGCAGCCTTTGCCACCGGGGTTTCTCTTGCAGTTCATCCGGCAGCTGCTGGACGTGATCCCGCTGGCGGCGGCGGCCGAGAACGAGGTGGCTCTGCCAGGTGACATCAAGGCCCTGCAGCAGCACCTGTGTGTGGTGCAGCTCTCCAGGCTGCTGGGGATCTACCACGCCATGGAGAAGAAGCAGAAGCTGGCAGTGGTGCGGGAGCTGATGCTGAGATACCGCCACGGGTTGGAGTTTGGTGAGGAAAATCTGTAACGCTGATAAAACTTGGCTTTCTCCTTTCTGATTCTACTCTTCACCTTCCCTGAATTGTGATTCCTTTTATTTTTTTTTTTCTTTTCAGCCATGTATTTAAAGATGAATAAGGTTTTCCAGGGTAGTTCAGATAGTCTGTTTGTGCTTTGCAGGATTGCTTGTGCTTTTAAGCAAAGCCAGGTTTTCTCACTGGAGTGCATGGGACACGTTTGTGGTTGGGAGTTATTAATTTGTAAATCTTGCAGCTGTGGGAGTCAGTTCTTCTTCCAGCAGATGTCAATGTTTGAAGTGCCCCAAAGGCCACTCAGTGATGTGTGAAGTTGTTTGGATTTTAAGACAATGCTGATCCTAAACATTAAAATGTTTTCTGTCTGATTGTGGTGCCACTCAATAACCCTGACTTGACAGTGAGATCAGCTGACAGCACTGTTAGGAATTAAAGGGTTCAAACTGTTTTTTGTCTCTTTTTAGGGAAATCTTGTTTGAAAACTGAATTGCAGTTTTCAGATTATTACTGCCTGCTTGCAGTTCACCTGCTGCTTGATCTGTGGCTGGAAGGTATGTTCCCAAAATTGTGCCTTGCTCTAATATCTCTGTGGGAGGCTGGGAAAGGGAGACTCTGTCCCTGTGGCCAGTGAATGCCTGGCATGGCTTGTTAGGCCTGGAGCTTTCTGGGGGGTTTTTTGCAATATTAGGTATTTCAGGAGTCTCTCTGATAAGCTGGTGTTTGCCTTGAATCTCACTGACCTCTATAAACAGGTTTAATTTTTCTGATTAATTCCTTTTTTCTCTCCCTTTGCCTGAGTTCTGCTGACAACTCCTTTCTGGTACCAGAAATGTTTTGAGAGCGTTTCTTTCTCTTCCTGACATACTTTGGCTTTTGGATCCCTTGTTTCTAGACTTGCTGGGACCTGTTCCCTGAATTAAATTTGCCTGTACTCCACCCCTGCTCCTTGTTAGTCTCTTAATCCCACAGTGTCCAGTGCTGGGTGTCCACGTGTATAATCCTGCCCCTTCCATGTAGTTATCTGTTACATTCTTGTCTTTCCCAAGGAAGATTTAGTCTTTAACCTGACTAAATCCATGGTCAGGCTTCTGGCAGAAAGGTGGATGTGGGCTCTTGAATTCCTGACTCTTTTGCAGTGTGCAAGCTAGAATTCCTAAACAGGATTCATCAGAGAGGGTCGCTTTCCCAGCAGTGTGTTCTGTGCAGATGTGAGCTAGATATTCCCTGGGAGGGATTATTCCCCCAGCATTCCCTCAGGGAGCAGCTGCAGTGCTGGAGCAGTGTTATTTGGGCACACTGAAATCCCTGTGTAAGGCGGACAGAGGGAATTGTGCCAGCACCTGTCCCTGCTCACACCTGCCTGTGCTGTGTCTGTCACCAGGTGAAGAGGCAGCTGTGTGGCAGTGCCTGACTCTCTTGGAGGAGGGGCTGTCTCACAGTCCCTCCAATGCTCAGTTTAAGCTGCTGCTCATCCGGATCTACTGCAGGCTCGGCGCCTTCGAGCCCGTCTCGGAGCTCTACTCCAGCCTGGACGCCAAGCACATCCAGCACGACACCATCGGGTGGGTGGTACATACTGAGAATAATCACTCCTGCTGGCCCCATCCTGACAGCTGCAGCATCCTCTGCCACCCAGAGTTCAGCAGCACGTTGTCACATTTTCACGTGTGCAAAAGTGTGCTGGGGTTTTTGGGAGGCATGTCCACTGCATGTTCCCCCTTTTCTGTAGGGTATCTTTCCTGTGTGATTTTGAGCTGTGTTGGATTTTTTAGAGTATTAATTAATCTGAAGGAAATTGGTGAAATGTCTGGCTGGCTGCCAGTTGGAGCTTGGTGTTCCAGCTTGGGAACAGCAGTGAAAGCAGTGAAAGGAAAGCCAACACACCCTGGTGTGATCGGGGGTCTCTCACTGAGCAGCTCTTACTCCCTTAAGGTGAAGAAAGAACTCCAAGCCCTCACATGGTGCTTTTAAAAAATTGACAGTTCATTCCACTAAAAGCCTGAACTTGCCCATGAATGCTGGTAATGCTGTTAAATGTCCAGCTGTCTCCTGTGCAGCTGCTTGCCAGGGCAGTGGCTGACGTTTGCCTCGTGCTGTTTGTTGCAGTTATCTCCTGACACGCTACGCCGGCTCCTTGGGCCACTACGCTGCTGCTTCCCAATCCTGCAACTTTGCACTCAGGTTTTTCCACTCCAACCAGAAAGATGTAAGTTGAAAGAAACCCCCTCCATGACCTTGTAACACAGCAAAGTGTCTTTGAGAAGCTTTAGAGAAGCCCCGTGCAAGGCTTGTTCAAATGTAGCATTTAAAACATAACAAAGGCCAGTAGTAGGTGCAGCTTTGTAGTAAAGGTTGTCTCAACTTGCATTTTCTACTACAAGGATTTGTGAGTTCCTGTTACATGAGATTTTGCTTCAGCTTCCTTTCTGTTAAAGCCAGTTTTAATGCTCATAAAACAGGTATGATTGCTTTTAAATTAAGGCTTGTGATTTTATGCAATAATTGAACTGGAATGTGATGTGGAAATAAGTGCTGGTGTCATAAATTTGGCATTTTGGAAAGTTTCACAGCAGCCAGTGATGATGGGTCAGGATGGGGATGGCACATGATGAATCCTTTATGTTACAGTCACTGGAGCTGTGTGTTTTCAGTGGATGGTAGGGATGCACTTCACTTTAACGGGACCATCCCATTCTGAGGAATGGGAATATATCCTGTGTATTTGTATTTTACACCCTGGGCACTGTTGAGAGGTAGGTGAAGAAGATTATTTTTACTTTCTGAGAAACAAAAGGTGCAATCCAGTTTTAAATCTGCCAATCAGCCACTGCCTGAGTTGGCTCCAGAGGCTCTGGGGTCACATGATTTGCTTTCCCACTGTGCCAGCAATAGATAAAAACACAGGAATTGTCTGGACTGAGCAATAAAGAGTCTCACACAGAAATCACTCAGAAGCAGCAGCCCAGGTGTACAGGATTCCCACTGCCATTTCCCTGTGCCCAGGGTGCTGGTGCCCAGTTCCTGTGAGCTGTGTCTGACACAGAAATTTTCCTGAGGGATGCACATGGATTGTTCAATGGGATGGGAGCTCACTCTGCTCTACATCCCTCAGTTGCTCATTTTTTTCCTACTTGATAAGAAGCTTTGGATTCCTGGGAGTGAAGCCTGGATCCAGGTGCCTTTTCTTTTGAAAAACATCCCTGGAAGCAACTGTCTGAATGAAACCCACAACTGCTGGGTGCCAGGTGGAAAAGTGAAATGAAAAACTTCTGGATGTGATTCATCTGCTTGGGAATGCTGTGTTGTAAAGCATCAAGAAATCATCTTTCTGTGGAAAACAGTCTGAAGTAATTGAGGTGTGGTTCCCTTGGGAGCAAGTTTTTCTCTGTGGCATGAATAATGGAGGTGCTTGTGGCAGAGAAGAGTGGGATGTCTCCAGTGGCTCAGTGTCTGTACATGGATGGTGATGGCTGCATTCCAGGTGCTGTTGGCAGGAAAACACAACTAGTGTTCCAGAAATCCCAAAAAGGTGTTGCCTTGCTGCTACACCTTCAAATGTTGGGATTTCAAGAGGCCAGCAGTGTTGCTGCAGGAGGACAGAATTTCTCATGTGACAAGATAAGGATGGAGACTGGAACCACTCACATCATACCTTGGAGATGGTGTTGCAGCCAAAGGACCATGAGCTGATGTTGCTCTCAGGTCTCCAAATCTCTCCTGCTCTGGATACTTCCAGTGGTTGTCTCCTTAAGATCCTTTTGATGGGAAGTACCTCAGAAGCTGTTCTTGCAACCAGGAATTGCAGGAGGTGGAGGCTCAGTTCAGGCTGCTGTTCCCTGGGGATGGTGGTATGACAAGAGTGGGGATGAAGAAGGATTCCTTGCCATAAAACATCACAAGGTCAGGATCTGCTCCCAGTTTCTGTGCTGCTGTGGTTCTGCTGGGGCTGCCCCTTTATGTTTAGGGTGCTTGGAGCAGCTCCCACTCAAGCCCTGCAAGCATATGTGGAGTATTAAAAGGAGTCTATCCTTTAAAAGTTCAATTTTTACAGATTTCTGGTGCTGCCTGCTCTTCCCTAGGTTGATGCTGAGATAGCTGGAATGTCACAGCACAGAGCTGTGTGTGGGACTCTGCCTGGAGCAGGAAGTGTGGGATGTAAATGAAGTCTGGCATAAAAATAGAGCTCCTGAATCAGATTTCTTGCTTTGGATAAATCTGTTCTCCTGACTTGCTGAACTTCCCAGCCTGACGTGAATCCTGTGTCAGAGTGATTCCATGAGTAACAGCCATGTAGGATGCTGTGCAATCCTGCCACTATTCCTGCTCTGGGAGAGGATGCCAAGGACAGGGAGGAGAGAGAAGGCAGCATTGCTATATTTGGCCAAAACTAAAAAGGCAACTTTATCCTCCTTGAGATGGTCCTCCTTCAGCTATGCAGAATCACCAGTAATCTCTAATTTTCTTGTGTCCATCCATCTTTAATCTCTCCAGATACTGCAGGCAAACCACTCCAACATGTCCTGGGGGGATTTAAAAACCACGTGGATGCAGTTGAATTAGAGCCCATAGCCCAGTCCCTGACAGTCACCTCTGCAAGGCTGTTGATCAGAGGGTATGTTGTTGAATATCTGGCATACTTTTTCATTCAGTGCAAATAACCAAATTACTTAGGGGGGAAAAAATAAAGACAGCTCCCTAGAGGATATTTCTTGGTTTAGAGGGGAAAAAAAGGAGTTTTGGATCTCTGAGTGTTGCCTTCTAGTCTCTCAGAGACTTCCAGACTGGTTGAGCCTGTTAAGACCATATAGAATTCAGTTAAGCAGAAGCCTTTTTTTGTGCCTTTCATCTTTAGTGAGGTTCGTAAGCTTGTTCAGAATAAAGTAGTTGATTTGCCAGAATTTCTCAGTTGTGGAATAATTCTGGTGCAAAAATTCAGCTATCACTCATGGCTGGGAGTAGAAATAGTTCGCTCTGTGTCTACAGTTAAACATTTTCATGAAAACACTGCTTGTCTCGGGCTCCTTCATCATAAAAATCTCTTTTTTTGGAGATTGCTTGGACTGAAGTGAAATACTGGCTGCCTGCCTTGTATTGCTGCATTTCATCAGAGAGAAAGCAAAATATCCCATGGACCTTGAGAGTTTCCTATGGTGTTTTTGTTGTACCCGCTGTGTGATACTATATTTAAAACTCTAATAAAAAAGAGAAACAAAAAACGTGTGAGTAATTTTTATTTTTTTTTAAATCTGTGTTGGTGGTATGTGATGCATATCCAAGTCAGTTCCAGAAAATCTGGGCTATATTTCTTTTGCCTGGAATTATTTCTCACAATGAAATTATGATTAAATGATTTGAATCACGCATCTAAAAGGAAAAGGAAGGAAAAAAAGCCTTCCAAAAGCATCTCTTCCCTGTGAAGTATTTTTGTTTGTGGTGACAACAGAGTGATGTTTAGTGTTGGTTTGGTTGTTAAACCTCACTGCCCATGGAGCATCTGGGCATTCCTGATTTAAAGCAGCAAAACTGCTTGGGTGACTTGGAGAAGCAGAAGCTCAAACTCCTCCCAGGGACTGAGGATCTGCCAGGTCCTGCACCTCTGGGCTGATAAAAACCACAGAAACACAGTCCCTTGGCAGTGACCTTGTTGGCTGTTCCTAATTTGGGAAGTCACTAAGGAGAGCTGGCGTGTGTTGTGTTGCAGACCTCAGAATACATCATCCAGGCCTACAAGTACGGGGCGTTCGAGAAGATCCCGGAGTTCATCGCGTTCAGGAACAGGCTGAACTCTTCCCTTCACTTCGCGCAGGTTCGCACCGAGCGGATGTTGTTGGACCTCTTACTTGAAGCAAATATGTGAGTACAGCTCCTGGCATGGGAAAACTGGGAGAGGGCCAAGAGGGGCCTTTGGGGAATTGCACCTGCAGAAAACTCAGAGCTGCAGCTCTGCTCCTAAAGCTTCATTCTGCTTTTAATGGTCTCGGATTGCACTGAGGAGGTTTAAAAAAATTCCTTTGTGGAAAGGGTTGTCAAGTGTTGGAATGGGCTGCCCAGGGAAGCAGTGGAGTCACCATGCCTGGAAGTGTTCAGAAAATACGTGGAAGGGCACTGAGGCCATGGTTTAATGGTGACCATGGTGCCAGTGTTGCATTGGTGGTTGGACTTGGTGATCTTGAAGCACTTTTCCAACTTTGGGGATTCTGTGATTCTGACTTGCTGTCCCTTCACATCCTTGTCAGTGCGTTGTGTCATATTCCTGACAGAGGGAAGAGCTGAGCAGTGCACAGAATGTGGTCTGTTAGTGAGCTGCTTTCCCTTTGCAGTGATCAGATGTTTGATTTAGTGCTGCGTGTTCTTACCTACAGATCAATCAGTTTAGAAGAAAGTGTAAAGTCCATGAGTCTGAGCCCAGAGGAGGATGACATTCCATGGAAAGATCTGCGTGACAACAGAGACCTGACAGTCTTGTTTAGCTGGGATCCAAAAGACAGGTGAGTAGAAATACTCTGAACTCACACATAGCAAAGAAATTCCTTCCCATTTTCCAGTGTTCCTTGGGCTGGCTGATTTAAGCACCATCCACTACATCTGGCAGTGCTGCCCTTTTAGATACTGATTTTTCAGAATTTTTGACCACTCCTTCCTCATCATACAGAACTGGGGAGCTTTGGGTAGGCTTTTGTGCCTGGAGCGTGTGCCTGAAGAGCTTTGGTGCCTTTCTGCAGGGACATTTCTGAGGAACATCGGAAGCTGTCCCTGGAGGAGGAAACGCTGTGGTTGCGAATCCGGTCTTTAACGTTGAGGCTGGTGAGCGGACTCCCAACTCTTGGTCACACCATCCAACCAAAGAACTCTGAAAAGACTGCAGAGAACGGTGTCTCATCCAAGATTGACACCATCCGAGCCCTGCTGCAGCAGCTGGAAGCAGCAGTGGATTCAGGGAAGAAGTTTCTAGAACAAAAAATCCAGGTACCAGTAAGGCAAAAGCTCTCCCCAAATGTTGACTGTGAATGCATCGTGCAGGCTGCGGAGTGCATTTAACTGCCCCTGGGTTTGTGGTGTGTGACTGACTGGGAGATGTGCCAGGCACTGGGTGGGATGAGGGAAAGCTGCAACACCTTTATCTTTTTCTTTGCTTCTTGCCTAGTATCCTGTCCTTGGCCCTCCTCCTACCCGAATGGCTGGCTTCTTCAGCAATGGCAGCTGTCAGTGCCAGACTAGCTTGTTTTATCTTGTTAGTGATATTTATGAACTAGATACCAATGGCTTAGGTAAGTGTTTGGGGCAGGGGTTTGACCACATTGCCATGGTGTGTGGTGGGAGGGAGCCACATGTCTCTGTTTAGTCTGAAAACTGCTGGGCGTTGGAGGATGTGGACTCAAAACTGTTACTTGTGTGTTAATTTTCTGTCTGAAACGAAATTATCTGAGAGCCAGTGCCTTCATTTAGTGTTTTATGCAAGTCTTCATTTTTCTGCAGTATATGGTGCTGTAATACTGGCTTCTCTTTGAAAGCAGTTACTTTTGAGAACTGACACTAAATAGCATTTAAGTGCCTCGTGAGTTTCTGGAAGCAGAAAATAACAGAAGTTTGTAGCTTATCATGTTTTTATTTCTTTTTTTTTTTTTTTTTCCAGAAGATTCAGCAGAAATCCAGGAAAGAATAGGGAATAGTTTCAAGTCTTTAGTAGAACGACTGACAGGTAAATGGTAACTCAAGAACAGACACTGAGGCAGAGCTTCCTGGCTGTCTGAGGATGGCTGTGGAGTGTCTGCAGGGATGGGCTGTGGTGATGCAGACCCTGTGAAAGCTTGAGAACAAGGCTGGGATTGCCCTTGGCTTGTGTGCTGAAGCTGCTGCATGCTCAGAAAGTGCTGTGCCCTTCAGTGCATTTATCTCCCAGCCTGGGCAGCTTCTCTTCCAGGTTCTTGGGTCAGGGGGGCTCATCAAGGGTGTGGAAATGTTTGTAATGAGCCAGAACTCAACGGAGATGGAGAGGACTCATTATCTCAGTGGTCAGTGCCCTGACAGTTCTGCACCCTACACTCAGATACCTGGTGTACAGAAAATGCACATTTGTAATTATCTCCTTCATCCTCAAATCAGGCTTTTCTTTTTCCTTTTCAGACTTGTTCAATAAATGTAAAGGTGATTTGATTGAAGTCAGAGATGGCACCTTGAAAACTCATCCAAACCTTTTAGAAAACTTAGTCTTCTTTGTTGAGGTATTTTTTTTTCCTTTGGAAACTAGAAATTTGGGAGTGCTGCGGGGTAGAAATATTGGGACTGAAACACAGTGGAAGTTTGATCTCAGGCAAGAGAACTTGTGAGGAATTTTGCTGCATATTTTAATCAGCAATGCTGAGTTTTACCTGGAGCGCTTAAATGAGTTGAGAAGCCTCCTGTAAATGCAACTTAGAACATATTTTTACCTTTCTTCCAGACGATCTCCATTGCCCTGTGGGTATCAAGTTACTGTGACAGTGTCCTCCGACCTTTTAAATCCAACCTGCAAAAAAAGAAGAAGAAAAAAAAAGAAAGCAGTGTAGCAATGGTACAAAAAATGTTTCTTTCTCTCTTCCCCCACCCCTAATCAAGGCTTATTATTCTGAAAGAAAAATCAGGATAGATAACATGAACTGGTTTTCATAAACTGGTGGAGGTTGATTGCGTAATGGTTACTTGGGGCTAATTTTTACTGTTTAAAATCAGTGACATGTCACATCTGTGACATCATGTGACAGTTTTTTAATGAGAAATACTGTTTAGAGTGTCATTGACCTTCCTGCCTGGAATGTACCACAGTAAACTTGTTAGCTGGGAGTGTTTATTTGGGTAGCTAAATTACAGCTTAGCACTGGTGGGAAGAAGAGAGTTATATATTACAAAGTGAGTTATATAAAATGGACATTAGTATGGGATTATAAATTCAAGACCTGTGTTTGTTTTTGTAGCCACCTGTATTTACCCATTTCCTGGATTATGTAACTGAACTCCAGACATTAACTTCCAATGTAATAGATCATATCAAAGGGCTTGAAATCATTCTGACTGCACTAAAACTTGAAGAGCTGTCACTCAAGGACACTCTGCTTTTACAGGTAAGAGATTCCCTGTGCAAACACTGTCGTCCTCAGGAATTTCCTTTTGGTGTTTGAGGTGTTGGAGGATGTTTAAAAGGGGGATTTAAACAGTTGCTGTGAAGTTAGTGATTTCTCTTTTGCACTTTGCAGGAAGAAAAAAAGTTTACAAAGACTGTGCAAGGGAAGGTCCAGAGCAGTTACCATCACTCAGTTCAGGAAATTGGAGAGCTGCTGAAAAAGAGACTTGATACCATTAAAAAACTAAAGATTTGAGCAATGCATCACTGGCAGACTCCACAGGGGAGTGACACCAGAGTCCCAGACAGAAGCAACATCTACTCTACCATCACTTAAATCCAGAACTTCCTCATAATGCATGAAGGACTTAAAATCATGAAACAATTTTTTTAGGTATTACAGATGTATTGAGCTGATTTAAATTATTGTACATAAAAGAAGCAGGGACCCTTCCTGGGGTTTGACCACTTTTTATACATGTTCATAAGCATATTGCAACAGGAGAAAAGTCACTTTCTTCCCTTCTGATCTCTAGAACCAACTGGAGATGGTCTTTAGAAGCAGCAATAGCAATCCAGTGTAAAGCATCTATCTCCAAGGATATTTTCATCACCATACAGTGTTCATAATTTTTGTATGGTCCTTGCCTTAGAAATGCAGGAATTGTAGATGTCCACTTTCAGCCACCTCTGATGAACTGAGCCTGGCTTGGAGCTGCCTGTTTTGTCTGCAAACCACCTGGTCCTGCTGACAGAATTCCATGTGTTGGTCCATCAGGGAGAGGTGAGACCTCCGTGGTGAGCTGGGAATCATCCAGAGTTGGGGCAGGAACCTCCAGGAGAGAGCGGGAGGGAGGAGGTGTCTGTGCACAACTCGGGAAAACTACAAATGTGATGAGGAGCAAACTTCAGAGAGAGAGGGAGATGGGAATGGGTGTTTCAGCAAAAAAAAAAGACAAAACGAGAGACCTTGTAAATAATGGCTGCAGTGGAGTGTGACACTGCGCTGGTATCATGTCAGTTCAATGTCAAACAGCAATGTCATGACTTTTAAAAAGTGTATTTAGATTACTGAAACTTTAAGACTTCAATATTTTAATAGAAATTGAATCCTATTGGCTTTGGTTTTAAGTTGGCAGAGGTAACTTTTGCTTCCGCTGTGGTCTGAGGCTGAGATCCTTTTTGTACCTGTCTGCTTGCTTTTTGCAGTTGAACTTTGATTATCCAAGCACTGGTTCATGAAGCTTTCTGTTAGAAAGTGTGACCATATCATCTGCTCCCACAGAATCTGCACATCTGTTGGGTTTTTTCAAGTTCAAAGAGCAATGCAGCCTGAAATTGATAGGCAAAAAAAAAAAAAAAGTTCACGTACCTGCAATACAAGAGACAGGTCAGACCCAACAGATTCCTCATCTCCTGGTTTAGAGCCACAGGTATCCAAGTCTAGATTTAAAGTTTGAAGAGAGCTTGACTGCCTTTGTCATCTCTTTTGTTTTGTTAGTAATGCTAGAGTGTTGATGAGAGTATTTTTTTAATAAATCCCCTGTATTAAAAAAAAAAAAAAAAAGTCCTATAGCTGCTCTTGCTGGATTTAGTTTGGCTTTGCCCCATCCTGAAAGGGAAAGAAAGGAATGTCTGCAGGTTGTCAAATTGTAAAGGATGTCCTGATGGTTGAATCACAATGTCTGGTAAGTGCTCTGGGTTGGAGGAGTACCAAAATATGTTAAGTCTGTTTTATAGTAACACTTCTACTGAAAAAAAAAAAAAAAAGAAAAGAAAAGAAAAAGAAACCAAACAGAACTGTCATGTTGTATAGAAATATCATTTTTGAAAGGAGGGTGTGCTCCTTAAATTAAAGCAAGGCTGGTGACTGAAGGTGATGCTGTCAGGTATGTAGGGTGAGTGAAAACCACCCCTGTGCTGGGGTGGGGCAGTTCAGAACAGCCCTGAGCCAGAAACAGGCACTGCCCTTCTCAGTCAGGGGGCACAGTGGCACTGCTGCTGTCCTTGTCCTCTCCCTCTAATTCCAGAGGGCTTTGCACAGACACAGCAAAGGTGACACAGGGGACAGACCCAGGGCTGAGCCATGCTGGAGTTTCCTTCCACTGCTGCTACACCAGGTTGAACTCAGTCGTATCAATAAGCAATGGTGACAATGTAAGTGAGGTTTGAGATTAAGAGAACCAAGCATTTAAAATCCTCCTGTGTGCCTGAAAGCAGAAGCTGGGTTAAAAAAAAGGTTTCCTGCATCCCTTGAAAGCAGAACTGAAACTGTGGGGGGAACTGATGTCATCTGAGGCAGGGGCTGGGACAGGATGGAACCAAGACTCGCTCACTTCCAGCACAGGGGAATTCTGACTGTTCTCAGTGCCAGCTGCTGTTCTCTCACCACTTCCAGCCACTGGGAATGGCAATGACAACCTTGTCAAACACAGAACTTCTGGGCTACTCAGTGGTTTCTAAAAGCAGAGGCCGTCTCTTCCCAAGCTGTAGTTTCTCTAGGAGGAAACAGTGTACAAAAATGACTCCGTACTGACTGACTGGGGGCTTGGTTGAGGGAGAATTTCTCTCCCCCTATAAATTGTGTACAGTTAAATATATTATATATTTCTTACAAAAGAACATTTCCCCTCCAGAATATGTCCCACACAGACCTGGTAAGAAATTCAAGCTACAACCCATTGCTGCTGTTCCCCTTTTTTCCACCCTTAGGATTTGTTTTTGTTTGTTTCGGATTTTCTTTGGGTGAAGAATTGAAAAACATACCTAGAAGAAGCTACCAAGACTACTGTTTACAGACTGAAAAATTACTGCTTTTATACTACTGGGATCATGAGCCACGATCCTTTTACAGATTTCCTCAACTCCTTTTGGCTTAAAATCAATGTCTGATGTAGATAAAGGTTGGAAATCTCCTACCCTTCTTTGTCTACACACAGGACAAACTGTACAATGCTTGTTTGTGTTGTCCATCATTTTTGTACTTTTTAACTGTTCAAAAATTGCATTTATATTTTGCAATCCTTGATAATCATTACTTTATTTTAACGGCTAGTAAACTTAGGGATTTTTTTGTTGTATTTGCAGCCTTATCTGAACTTTCTCTTCCTTGATTATTGTTAATTTATGACTGTAGGAGATATGTACGCCTCAGCCTTCTACGGACTTAAGTGACACAGCTGCAACTGAACTGCTTTAAACTGGATGGGTTTATAATTTATATAAAAGTCAGTTTCGTTACAAATCAGTATTGGTGCCTCATTTTTCTGCCTGGATGGTCTGGATGTAAGCTCCATGGTGAAGCCAGATTATGCTGGTGCAGGACAAGCAGACCTGCAAAGAGGATGGAAAAAGAGGGAAAATGCTCATTGTTTTCCAGCTGGGGATTAGGTGCAGAATGATGTCTGTTGGGGGAGGGAGTGTGGATGGCTCAGTGCTTTTACTTGATGAGCTGACAGTCTGTATTTCTGCAGTGCTTGCTTGCTTTTCATCCACTCTCCGTGATAAGGACACGTTGTGTACAAGTGCGGACTGGTAGTGCATGAAATCTTCCCTGGCAGCGCAAAAACCTCTGCTTGAGAGGGCTGTGCCAGTGCCCACCTGGATCCAAACATACACCCCACGGCTTTTCTCCCTGCTGCCCCGCACGGCCCGATCCTGCCTCCCGCCCTTGCGCTGCCTTCAGCTGCTCTGGAATTGCTGCTGGCAGCCGCTCTCTCGTCCTTATTTCACTGGCACCAGCAGCGGTGCTGTCCCGGGGGGCGCGGAGCTCCTGTGCGCGCTGCCCGTTCCCCGCACGGCGTGGGAGCCCCCGCCCGGCCCCGAGCGCTGCCGCTCCCGCGGTGGCCCCGGGCAGCGGGGCGGGGCGAGCCGAGCCCCCGGCGGCGGCCGTCGCGCCGTCACGTGGCTCCGCAGCTCCGCTCCCTCCGTGCTCCGCCATGGCTGCGGCGGCTGCCGCCGGCTCGCTGCTGCTCTGCCTGCTCGGCCTGGTGCTGCCCGGCGGCAGCACGCTGCACACCAAGGGCTCCGTGCCGCTCGACACCATCACCTTCTACAAGGTACGGCGCTGGCGGGCCTGCCGGGAGCGCTCGGGGGGCGGCCGTGGGGCGGCATCGGGCCGTGTGCCCCGCGGCCGGCGGCAGCTCCGGGCCGCGGGAGGAACGCGGGGGGCGCGGCGGGGCCGCGGGCTCGGGGCCGCTGCCGCCGCCACCGGCGCGGGGAGCGCTCGGTGCTGGCGGAGCGGCCGCGCCGCAGCCAATGGGAGCGCGGCAGCTGCCGCACTCAGCCAATGGGAGCGCGGCGGCCGCGGCCGGCAGCCAATCAGCGCGGTCCAAGTGGAGCCGAGCCGCGGGGTCCGGCCCGCTCGCTCCGGCCCGGCGGTACCGGCGGTACCGGAGGTGCGGCCGCAGCCGCGGCTCCTCTGCCGGGGCTGTGCTGTCTGTGCCGGTGAGGGATAGAGTCGGGCCATGAGCACGCGCTGCTTGGGTGGTTTCACTTGTTCATCAAACAGCAACAGGCTCTTTTTTTTTTTTTTTTTTTTTTTCCCACCTTTTTTTTTCTCCTTCACTAAATCACTTTGTAAGGAAGGAATCTTCCCAGGGCCTTGTGCGCTCCCCACCGGGACACTGAGCGCTCGGCAGCCACCTGTGCGTACAGATGTGTGCAGGGCCTGAGCCGGGCTGGCGGAGCGCTGTGTAGGTGGGGAGCTGTGGTGCAACCTCAACCTGTTCTAGAATAAGAGGATTTTGCAAGGTCTTCTACTTCAGGGAGGGGAAAATCCCTCAAGGGGTGACAGAGTCCATTGCCAAACTAATTGGAAAAGGCATCATCTGAGCAGAGCAAGGCTGGAGTGAAGAGGAATGAATTATATGAGAATTTTCCATTTCACCTCCAGCATCTCCACTGCCTCCCTGTGCCTCCTCCTAGCCAAGAGTGCAGCTCATGCTGGGACACTTCAGAATGCCTATGGCCTCTCTCCTCTTCATGTCCCACTGGAAAATGTTTCAGCTGATCTTCCAAGATGCCAGTCAGATTGCTTACAATAAGCAAATCTTAGAATTAAAGGCATTATCAGATTCCCCAAACCTACCACATACTATCTTTATCATCTGGTGCAGGAATACAGACACCTAAAGCTCAGTCTTTCCTCCACACGACAGTGAGTCATTTCTGAGAGGCCATAATTATATAAAATTTCCATTCTCCTCTGCATCTCCCCATTGCACAGGAAAAAAAGGACAAGCAAAACCAACTTTTGGTGACTTGTACATTGCTCAGACCTGAAATGATCAAGTTTTGTCTTGTCTTTTTCCCTTTTTCTTCTTGTTTTAGGTTATTCCAAAGCATAAGTTTGTCCTTGTGAAGTTTGACACACAATATCCCTATGGTGAGAAACAAGATGAGTTTAAAAAGCTGGCGGAGAGCTCAGGCTCCAGTGAGGATCTGCTGGTGGCTGAAGTGGGAATATCAGGTGAGGAACTCTGAGTACATGCAAACAGTGTGGGCTGGTGAGGAGGGGATACATTTCAGTGTGATTTCTGCAGGTTCTGAGGCAATTCTGGGGGAGGGATGGATGTGAGAGTGGAGCTCCTGCCCTGGCTGAGCCTGCTTGTGCGTGGGAGAGCTGCTTATCCATCTGGCTGGTTAATGAGGAGTCAGCCCACGCTGCTGAACTGCTGCCACCTCCTCATCCTCAGCAATTCTTGCCTTTTTTTTTCCCCCTTCTTTGCTGAGAGAAACCTTTTTGTCCCACATGCAGGGAACAGACCCCAGAAGAATTGTGCTTTAGCCACAGTCCTGCTCAGATAAAGAATATTTAGTGTGATTGATTCCATGCAGCAAACCCTGGGGCAGCACAGCAAGGGGTTGTTGCACTGTGGCTGCTCTTAACTCGATGTGACTGTGACTGGATTTAAGAGAAAGAGTGAAGAATAGATCACTGTCACCTGACATGCTCTGGCTTTGTAGGTTGAATTAAGAATTTAGGCTTAATTATCAAACTGTGAAGTTTTACCCATTCTGATATTTCTAAACATATGTGGAATACTCTAAGTAGCATTTTTGCAATGGCTTTGTTTTCTCTCCTCAAGAATAAATATAATTTCTGTAAGATGAGTAAACGTCTTGTAGCTTGGCATGCTGTCAGAACCAAATCATTCTCTGCACATAGACAGGAAAAACTCTTATTTAACTGTAAAATCAGATAAAATCAATGGATAGAGGAAAATAAGAGGAAAAAGGGTATTGATTTCCCATGAGGAGGACAGGGTTTATACAAAAGGTCCTGCTAATATCTTACACTCTCACAGTCACAGCAAAACATCATTACAGTCTTTTTCTTTGACAAACCCACTGAATGTTTGCCTTGCAGAAATGATTTTATGAGGTGTTTTTATTTCAGTGTGTGGCATTTCCTTGGAAGAGGCTCCCCAGAGAATGGTCACAGCCCCAAGGCTGCCAGAGCTCAGGGAGTATTTGGGCAATGTTCTCAGGCACAGGCTGTGATTTTGGGGTGCCATGAGCAGGGCTGGAAGTTGGACTCAGTGATCCTTGTGGGTCCCTTCCAGCTCAGGATATTTCCATGGCTCTGTGATTTCCTGACAAACAGGTTATTAGGACGTGTTGAAGCTCTGCCTACAAATATTTATGTGGGAGGGAATCTTAATTTAATTTTTTTATTAACTGTGCTTTTCTGTGTTTCATTGTCCCTTGATAGATTACGGTGATAAACTGAACACTGAGCTGGGAGAGAAGTACAAGCTTGACAAGGAAAAGTTCCCTGTTTTTCACTTGTTCCGGGATGGTGACTTTAACAATCCTTTACTTTATGATGGTGAAATCAAGGCTGGGGCTATTCAGCGCTGGCTGAAGAGTAATGGCATCTACCTGGGAATGCCAGGCTGCCTGAAGGAGTATGATGTGCTGGCCAGCAAATTTATGAGCACCACAGAGAAATCTGATCGCCAGGCCCTCCTGAAAAAGGGGCAGGAGAATTTAGGAAAAGCAAAAGAAACCGAGAAGAAGTCAGCAGAGCAATATTTGAAAATTATGAGCAAGATCCTGGAGCAGGGAGAGGAGTTTGCTGCAAATGAAGTTGTCCGAATCACAAAGCTGATCGAGAAGAACAAGATGAGTGATGGAAAGAAGGAGGAGCTCCAGAAAAGCCTCAACATCCTCGCTTCTTTCCGGAAGAAGAATAGTGAAAAAGATGAGCTCTAATGTGTTGGAGAACTCTCTACAAGCTGTGAAACATTGTCAAGATTCCTAACCAGTTCTCCTTAATGCAAGCAAACTTCCCGCTGACTTCTAAAAAGCAGCAGATCTCCTTCTAGGATTCTCAGTTTAGAAGGTCAAGAGGAAGACATTCCTTTAAAACACAGTATTCTAAATGTTTGAAAAATCACCTAAGAGCAAGGCGCACCAAGTATTGTGTAATACTATCCAATAACAGTGTTAAAGCAGACAACAAAAAAAAAGATCTAGATTGGCCAGAAGCTCATTCCTGGTGATTTTTACAGCTGTTCCCTGGCTAACAAATAACAAAATTCAGTCTCTCATTCCATCTTACGTGCTGGAAAAGGTACAGATTGGGTGCCCTCTACATGCCCACCTTTCCCTGTCCATAATATCCTTGGGGTTTATGTTTGTTGATCTACCCCTCACCCACCTTGTGTTGTCCTACTTGGGCTCTAAGTCTTGTTCTTACCTGTTGTTGACTAAGAAACTCAGAGCTTCCTTTTTCTGGCTTCTCCTTCCATGGCTTCTGTCCCTGTTTGCTTTGGGTGTCAGCCAAATGCTGGCAGTGAAGACAGTTCACAGCGTGCCCCTCATTTTCTGTCCAGAGCAGCCGTTTCATCAAACATTCTCCCAAAATCATTTGTAATACCCTGACACAGTGACTGAAGTGCGTTCTGAGCAAGGGCAGAGTCTCCTTGAGGTGCTATTACACTCAGTCTCACCAGTTTGTGCAAAAAATCGGGTTTTCAGAGGTAAATTTGGATGCGTTTTCTTACAGCTGAAGAGGTGTTCTACGTGTCCAAGCTTCATGAACAAAGTGTTTTTCTAGCCTCCAGAAGCAATTGACACTGTCAAACTAGAGCCTCGTCAGTGTTTGGTAGTTCTAAATATTTGAAAATGAGGTCCTGTAAGAGGAAGCAGAAGTATTTGTGTCCTTAGAAGCCTCGTCTGTGTTATTTAAAAGGAGATGCTTGGCCCAAGGATCAGGTCAATCCTCAGAACTGTGCA